CTTTCAATTTTATAGTAAATTTTTAAAATCACGTGTTGATCATATGAAAATTGATCTACATACCGTCTACCCTTAAATTCTTTTTAATTTTATATTATACTAAAGTTATTTATGCTATTTTAACTATAGAGGCTGTCCCGTTTCTGGATACACTTAATACAACTTATTTACGTAGGAATATTTTATTAAAAATTATGCTAATTATTATTTGTATCATTTATTTTTACCTTCTTAATATCCATGCTAATTAATGATATAGAGACTGTGAATGGAAGTTATTATGCAACATTACAGTTTATCATAGATAATAAGCTTGTTATAAGGAAAGAAACAGAACAAAGGTAAATAATCATAAATAAATACATTTTATTAATATTTATCAACACTTACGAACAATTTTACAAATAATGCATAATAGGAGCAAATCTGTAAGCAGTATAAATAATGTATTAACTTCTGCAAGCAAAAAATAATTATTGTCATTTAAATAAATAGTTTTTAAGTTTACTTGGTATTATGGGTGGTATTTGGAATTCCATGGCAGCTTTTTACGTATTTTTATTTGGTAGGTTGACTTTTAAAATTAAATCACAAGTAAAGAATTGATTTACTAACCTATTATTATTGTTTTTTATTTTGTTTATTAATAATTAGGTTATGGTATGATCTACCCATGGGGTCTTGTACAAAGATTAGGGCCGTTCAAAGAAAAATATAAAGAAAAACTCTCACCATTGGCTGTAGAGTCGCAATCCGATGATCCTGATACTAAAGAAACTTTTAATACCAAAGAAAATGAGATTTCTTCAATCTGAAAACAACTTAATGATTTCGAAAAGAGACTTAAATTCTATGAAAACATTGTCGATACATCAATATTAACTTCTAATAAGACAGATGCATCACCCACTACTAACAGTAGTATTTCTCCCTGATATTATATCATAGGATATGTAATAATCGCGATATACAACGTATGTACGTACATAAATCTAGTTTGTATCATGCAATCATTATAAGACGCATGAGCCATAATTTATGTCAAATTAAAGCTCAGAATTATTATTTTTTTATTTACTTATTTAAAGTATTATACATATATTGTACATAATATATATTAAATATTTTTTCTTTTTATTATTAACATTAAATTTGAGAAAACTATTTTTTATTTATCATACAGTAAACTATATAAGTGCACTTATGGAAATGAGTGTCGATAAAAGAAAACCCGAAAATTTATATATGACTTATATTTACTGCCCTTTTAAATTGCTGTGTTCATCAAATTTTATACATCACACACCACACAGGAATCTGGGAATCTGGAATCCATAAAAAAAAAAAAAATTCCAAAGCAGTAATGTCACGTGTGTGACGGTAATATGATGCAATTAGTAATAAAGGGTAATGCGAAATGTAATATTAAGTATATAGTAATAATTGCATAACAATAGTAGTAATAACTAATAGCGTTAGTATATAAGTAGAAATGTAAAAGAGAAAGATATTTTTCTCAGTCATACCCTTTGCTTATCCTATTTAGCTCATTTTCTATAACTCTGAACCTGGTATTCGGTATAGTTCACCCTATACCAATTAACCCCATAACAAGTAAAAAAAATTTTTTTTCCAAATCAATCAAACATAACGATAATGGCAGATGCAGCTAACACCAAACTTAGATATTACTGCGGCATCTGTTTTGGATGCCGAAAGTGTTTGTACTGCGCAGCTGATTTGAAAACTACTACTTGTAAATGTAAATTATCTCTAGTACCCACAAAAAACAATAGAACTGATTTAGTGAAACAAGCATATACATGCGCCTATGAACCTACTTGGGTAGCGCCCATGTTTGAATATATTCATGGAAGAGTTATGGAATATAATTACCAAATAAATTTGAAAAAATCTTTTCGGTTTTCTCTTTGTGGACGATGCCACAATGTTTTAGTGAAATTGAATCCAAAAAAGGCTAAAAAAAAGACTAATACAACAACAAAAAATAGAATTGATAACAATGTATGTGTAATGTAATCCTTTTGTTACCATTATTATATTTATTAATGTTATTTTTGTTTTATAGAAAAAAACTAGGTAACCTTCCCCAGCAACATCCACTGCAGCAAGTGAAGATAGAATTAATGAAAGTGAAATGAGCAGTAAAGACGATGAATTTGAATTTGCAGTAGATTATAAATTGTTTGTTAAAACAGCAGATAGGATTTCATACCTGCTAAATAGTTCAAAGAATCTGTATCAACAGTTGATGAATTTCTTTCATCCATTCACAATAAAATTCTCTCTGTAACAAAGGATAATACTATTATGCCAAACAATTATTCTGTAACATTCAAAATGTAGAGAGAAACAGGCGCTGGTACTCAGTTGGCTGATAATCAAGATTTCATCAAGTTCAAATCTGAATATACGAAGTTAGCTGCTAGAAAGAGCGATATTGGAATTTATATCATAGTTACGCAATCATCTACTTCTCAAAATAAATGAAAAAAAATGGTATGTAATATATATATTTATAGTAAAATCCTGGTTATTGATTTTGATACAAAGCGCACTGATATGTATAATTATAAATGGTTTTGTAGAATTGGATTTAAGTGAATGTGAAGATTATACTGAAAAAATAACTAAATATAAAAACAAAAATCGGGTTCCAAGTATTTCATCTTTATCTTCTCATGATAAAGATATTGCTAACAATGTTTTAAAAATTAGGAATGCATATCATTGTAACGTGCACAATCGTCTCTGCCTTAATAAAGAAAGTTACAAAGACCTGCATGTAGAAATCACCTTTATGATGCCTTCAATTTGGGCATCCGATATGGTATACATGTCAATATTTCAGTAATATGTATTTATAACAATTTATATTACTTACAGTAAACTCTTTAACATATATTTTTAGAACAAAGGGCTGGCTACAGTCAAAAATCCTCCAACATATCCTATTTTTTCCTATACCAACATATTCAAAAAGCGATGTTCAAAAACATCTCTTTTACAATCACCACTAGCTATATCACCATTAGTTTTACCGTCACTACCATCGCCACAAGCACATTCTACTCAACCACAACCACCGCAAATACAACATGTCCAACAATGACCATAGGCACAACTTACACATCAATCACCACAAGTACAACCTATACAATTATTATTACCGCAAGTGCAGCTATCACCACAACCAAAATTTCAACTCTCACCACAACCACAATCACAATTGATTTTGCCTTCATTTTCACTACAGCACATACCATTGGCTTTGCCACCACAACCAACACTATACAATTGGGCTTTTGGATCCCAAACGCTTCAATCACATCAACCATTATTATCAATTCCATATAACTCATATCAAATGTTACCTTATAATTCTGTGCAGCCCCGAATGAATCAATCTAACCCATATATCTCTTTCACTTTACCTTCTATGGATGAATTTTTAAAAGAAGTAGATGAAAGAGAAGGAACTAGCAACTATTATCAAAGTTTTTTGAAAAAGTTTAATAAGCAACGAGTTTTAGTAAAACAATTGCAAAGACTAATGGATGGGGAATTTGAACAATGTGATGTAGATACCGTCGGCGCATGAAAAACTCTGCGTGAATATGCTGAAAAGTATCAAGCACCAAATGGCTTTTAATTTTGGCTGATTATAGTAGTAGGAGAACATTATATTTGTCATTTTTCACTTATGTATATGATATTGTATAGTGAAAATGTATTTCAAAATGATGTAATGCATATATTAAACAAATAAAACATTAGACGCAGAATCTAAAAAATTCACATAGTTGTAGTGAAGTATATGTTTGTATATACAGTAGCAAGAAAAAATTATATAGTGGTCACAATAAAATAATATCTTTTATGAAGTACTTCTTTCAGTATATATATTTATTCTAAATAAATTAAAAAATGTAAGTTGTACCTTATTTTTCAATGATTGATAAAAATGTATAGAACGGCAATTCGATCATAAGATTAGTGTGTTACAAGTGCGAAGTAAAAAAGTAAATATGAAAAAAAACTAAAAATTGCAAAAAACTCATAAATCCACAAGGAAAATTGGTTTTTATTATTATATAAAAGTTTTCAGCACAAAAGTTTAGATGTATTTTTTCTACTTTGAATAATGCGAACATTAATTTTTAGGATATTATTGTTATTGAATTAGTCACAGGACCAAATTTTTATTTCACTCAGAATTTTAGCTTATTGTTATTAGAATTCTGCCATAATTTACTAAAATTACTGCTCAAACAGAAACTATAATTTTTCACATTATTATTGTTTATACGTATAAGGCTTATAGGCACTTTCAAGTAAAAAATTCGGTCCTTTCCCTGAGCAAATATCTATTGGCTAATCATTGTTAGTAGTGTATTCTATGGATTACTCATGAGTGTTTTATGGTTTGTCTCATGAATCAAAGGACAATTATAATCTGCAGGGAAATAATTAAAGATAATTGCATAAATATATATACACCTGATCTACTACAAGAAGAACAGAATATTTGCTTGAAAGCACCCTATGATTGTCAGTTATAAATACCATATTATAATAACAATAATGCAAACTTCCTAATCATATGCGATTATGCAATTACTATCATAAAACCTGCATTCAACAAGATAGCTATGTACGTAAAACAATACCATAGGAGATAAACAAAAGCTATACAAATAAATAATTATATTATTTATATCCCGAAGCTTCAAAAAAATTTTTTGCTATCTCTGGTATAATTTGTGCATATGTGACTAACAGTGGATATTTTGAATTATACGAACTTTCAATGAAATAGCAATATCATTATAAATAATTTTTGATCAAAGAGAACACTAATTCGATTGGGTTAAGGTCAGGTGAGTAAGGTGGAAGAAATTCTATATGCACCCCGAATGCATCCAAATATTCACACAATCCATCGTCATAATATATGCAAGCATTATCTACAACTAAAACACTATTATTGTGTGGATATGGATTCATTTGTGATAACTATATTTACAAAAAAAGTTAGTAAATAATTACTGTAAATAAAAAACTAACAATATATACAATATGATTTATAATGAAATCCTTAAATCTAAGCTTCGTATAATTTCTCTCTACAATATCGGCAGCAATTATCCCTGGTAGAGAAAGGCTGGACAAACTGTATATCTTACTCCACGAACAAATACCACTTTTTTTTTTGCTCAGATACCTATTTCTGAATAACCATAACCTCTTGTTATGATACGTTCATCTTTAGCAGACTCATCTACAAAGATTAATTGCTCGGGTCGATACTGAGAACCAACACAAGCCATAAAAGCGCTTCACACAAGTTCATTTCATTCTTTGGCTTCTCTCTGAAGCTATTTAATAAATATAAATAAAAATTAAAATTTTTTTAAAAAAAAACTAAAAAACTAAAAAACAAAAAAAAAAGTAAAAAAAAACTTTTTTTCGTGTGATGCTGCAGTAAGCCAAAGATCTCCAAAGTGTCAGGATTGACACAAGCTTTCCAGTATGTCATTCCATCTTACAAACAAGCTCATCCAAGTACCAATCGACTTTCTCCCTGACAATTTGCTGCAAAATCTAAATTATATAAAACTTATTAAAAATAAACAGTAATAATTATTATAAAACAAATAAAGTCATGCGTACATTCATATCATTTCTATCAAAAATTTTTTGGGGACCGGATATTTGGCGCCACGGATGGACAACTGTGCCCCAATTTCAGTATATTCTCAAAATTTTATTTACTAAGGATACACTTATATATAAAATGCATGCAATTTCTCTTTTTGGGTAACCATCGTAGCTCAAGTAAACTATGCACCACTTAAGGTCTTTGCTAAAAGGACGTGGCATTCTAAAAATTATGTATTATATTAATTTTATACATAGTAAATTTGTAAAAGAAAAAAAAGTAAATTTTTATTATTACCTTTATGAAATCTAGAACTGGTATACTATTAGATGTTATAAAAAACTAGAATACCGCAAAAAATCTTTTGGAATTAGCAAATAAATTACAAGATTTAATTTATATTAGATATAATAAATTACTGTGAAATGTGAGCGAAAATCTTGGAAATTAGCAAAAAAAAAAAAACTGGGAATTTTTATTATTTTCTGATCTAACAACTACAAAATCTAAAATACTAATGGATGTTTCACTAAAGAATAAGAATGTGCCGGGGAATCTTTGGAATTGTTAAGTTTTTAGGTAGAAATTTATAAAAAAAATAAGAACTTAAAAAAAATTTACTGATTTTCGTGTGATGAGCGATCATCTGATGAACACAGCAATTAGAAAAGGGCAGTAAATTTTCGGGTTTCTTTTAGCAACACACAAATATACACTTATATAGAATTTTAACTATAATAAGTACACTCGTACAATATATAATCAATCTCTCTAAGTGCAACTTGCAAAGACCGGTATTTTGTCAACATGCATTTAGAGAACAAATACTGTAAGAATAATTGCATTTATAGATATTAAGTATAGATTTGGACAAAGATTCAAAAGCATGTGGCTTTTTCACTTTTGAAAAAACACGGGCTTTGTCATAAGATTATTAACCAATCAGAAACCAGCTTTATTTTTAACACTTTTAAAAGATTTTTTAGCGTTAGTGTTTATTTTGTTATTCTTTCCAAATTATTGCATCGATATGCATTGATTTGTCATTTTATAATATCCATTTTTTTTGTATGATCTTTATCTTGAACATTAAGTTGCGTAATGCCCCGTAACGCGGGATGTAAAAGATTCGTACTGTATTTTGATTTTAAATGTACTTTACAGTACTTAAATTTAGGATACTATATTATACATCCGTACAGTGTATCTTTTTATATTATATGAATATACTGTATTGAATAAGAAAATAAGAATGACAGTATAGCAGTACAGTATGGTACGGTATATTAAACTTTCTTAATATCTTGACGAAAGCAAATTTAAATTATATGAGTGCCGCCAAGGAAAAATGAGGTTTCAATTTTATTGATTATTGGACTCAATCTATCTAATTTGTTAGGGATTGTGGCCAGTAAATTATAAATTTGAAATCCTGATGATAGGTTTTCCCCAGTGGCAGCCATATATGTTATAGTTTACTATATAACGATTACATTAAATGCGTAATTAATTTAAGCATGCTTTACGTTCGTATTTGCAGTGTTAATTAAAAGTTCAATTATGTCAAAGTTTTTTTTAATTTCTCTTGCAACATAATTTCTTTTCCAACTCATTTTTATCATTCTGAATTACAAGCTTTTCGTTCTCAATCCTTATATATATATCATATTTAATCTATATAAAAAGCTAATCAAAATGTAAGTAAATACGAAAACCTTGATGTTTAACTTGTATCTGATTCTTTCACATTCGGTATTGTAGCGTAGTAATAGTATAAAATGATGGGTGAATATTCCTTTCCTGAAATTTCAAGGAAATTTTGACTATTAGATCTGTACGATGATGACACAGTCCAACCATGCGTAGTAAAAAGTCTGGTTCACAAATGCACAAATTATTATACCATGTACACATATGGAGAAATGGTTCAGTTAAAATTATAAATCTTTAAAGAAATAAATTAGATAACAAACTATATCTTTTAATAAATATATATTAATTGAAATAGTACAGTAATACTGGGAGATAAAATTACATAAATATTACGTCTACAGTATATTCTTCTCCATGATTTGTAAATTACAAAATCATATGCTATATATAAAGTGTCACCAGTTTTAGACTATCAAAACTTATAATAAATAGATCAGTTATAATTAATTAATGTTAACTCCTCGGCTTTGCTATCCTATAAATAAAAATTTATTAATATTTAAGTTTATATTATTACCTTGGCAAATTAGAGAATTAAATGTTTACTTCTATAAACTGCATCAGAGTGCGCTGTCATACGTGTATTATTGTTACCCTTCAAATATTATCTCAGATTTTGGCAATTCTAATTAAAATTCATCATTATTTAGCCAACCTATAAAATATCACAAATTTTTTTGCTGATAGAAGCTTTTCTGATTCCCCATCCCAGCATTCCTTCATTAAATTTATATAATATTGTAGCATACCTCCGATAACAGTTGGCCTCAATTTTCAAGGCATGTTTGCATTTGAAGTTGCAATCCAAAAGTCAGATATAAAATACGGGCTCTCCATTAGAGGTGCAGGCGAAACTATCCCAATGAACCGTACGACACACAGCAAGTTACGGTTACGGTTGCGGCAAAAACCGC